CAGCAGTAGACAACGGAAACATCAGAGGCATGTATAATGGCATAAAGAAAGCAATGGGTCCAACGAAGAAAGTGATAGCTCCACTGAAGTCTTCTGCAGGAGATATCATTCATGACAAGAACAAACAGATGGAGCGCTTGGTGGAGTACTACTCCGATCTGTATTGCAGAGAGAATAACGTGACCAACAATGCCCTCAACGCCATTGAAAACCTCCCTTGTTTGACCAAACTGGATGAAAATCCTACTTAGACAGAACTAAAGCTAGCATTAGAGAAACTGACCACAGGTAAAGCCCCAGGAAAGGATGGCATCCCAGCAGAAGTCATCAAATGTGGTGGCAGTGTGCTGTTCACACACCTTTACGATCTTCTCTGCCAGTGCTGAGATGAAGGTGCAGTGCCTCAGGACATGAGAGACGCCAACATCATAACTCTGTATAAGAAAAAGGGCGACAGAAGTGACTGCAACAACTACAGGGGCATATCACTTCTCAGTATCGTGGGTAAAGTCTTCGCTAGAGTCATCCTGAACAGACTGCAGACGCTTGCCGACAGAGTGTATCCAGAGTCTCAGTGTGGGTTCCGCGCAGAGAGGTCCACAATCGACATGATCTTCTCCATCAAGCAACTGCAAGAGAAATACAGGGAACAACACAGACCCCTCTTCCTAGCTTTTATAGACCTCACCAAAGCATTCGATCTGGTCAGCAGAGGCAGACTCTTCAAAATCCTGACGAAGATTGGATGCCCTCCAAAGCTGTTAAGCATGGTCCAGTCCTTCCATGAAGACATGAAAGGCACAGTGTAGTATGATGGCTCATCGTCCGAACCATTCAATATCCACAGCGGAGTGAAACAAGACTGTGTCCTTGCCCCCACGCTCTTTGGCATCTTCTTCGCTGTCCTGCTTAAGTACGCCTTTGGGACGTCCACAGAAGGGATCTACCTGCACACGCGTTCAGACGGCAGACTGTTCAACCTGGCACGACTGAAGGCAATGAGCAAAGTAAGGAAAGCAACCATTAGGGACATGCTCTTTGCAGATGATGCTGCTATAGTCACTCACACAGAAGCTGAACTACAACGCCTGATGGACCGCTTTGCTAAAGTATGTGATGAATTGGGGCTGACCATCAGCCGAAAGAAAACCAACGTGATGGCTCCGGACGCAGACCCTCCCAGCATAACCATTAACAACTACAAACTAGAAGTAGTCAGTGAGTTCACTTACCTTGGCTCTACCATCACCAACAACCTCTCACTCGATGCCGAGCTCAACAAGCGGATTGGAAAGGCGTCAACAACTCTCTCTAGATTGTCGAAGAGAGTGTGGAACAACAACAAGCTGACATTAAACACTAAGATCACCGTGTACCGTGCCTGCGTGCTTAGCACTCTTCTGTATGCCAGCGAAACTTGGACCCTGTACGCCTCTCAGGAGAAACGACTAAGTGCCTTTCACATGCGTTGTCTCCGTCGCATACTTGGGATCACCTGGAGCGATCGTGTGACAAACAACGAGGTGCTTCAACAGGCCAAAATTCCTAGCATGGTCACACTCCTCTGCCAACATCACATCAGATTGTTGGGCCATGTGCATCGAATGGATGATGGACGGATCCCCAAAGACCTTCTCTATTCTAAGCTTGCCTCAGGCAGAAGATCAATAAGACGGCCATATCTTCGCTTCAAGGATGTCTGCAAGCAGGATATGAAAGCTCTTGGAATAGAGGTCAACACCTGGGAAGAGCTTGCCCTCGACAAGTCCAACTGGCGACATGCTCTGTACACAGGTCTGAAAGCCAGCGAGGAAAAGTTACGACAGCTCGCTGATGAGAAAAGATCTCAGAGGAAGAGGATGCAGTTCCAACCAAGACCCGAGTCACACTTCAAATGTAGCAATTGCAGCAAGGATTGCCACTCCCGTGTGGGACTTTATAGTCACAGAAGACGCTGCACAGCTACAAACTAGGACACCTTTCATGGGCGCATTTTCATCGTCTCTCGAGACTAACGGAAGCCAACCACCATATAATACATGTACCGGCGTTCACACTAAGTAACTTTTAATCTAAATATTCATTAACACACACGATTTACATTCCTCGTTGATAAGGAAGCTTCATATATTACCTTAACGATCTCATACTTTGCTTTTAACTGTTTGATTTATATAGTATGGTTGATAATAAAACTTTTATCAACTGTAAATAATATTGCCTGAATCCTCTTCTACAGCACTAAATAGCTTTACATTGCTGGTGCTTCGTAAAAATCACAACCAACCAATCAAACTTGATAAATGAGCTTCAGGAATATAGGAGATAATTGGAATGTTTTTTTTTGTAATACAGTTCACTCGGAAGTTGATGATTCAAGAATACGGAATATGCGTTAAATCTTAATAGTTAGTTTGCATACTATGAGGAGAAAACTCGTATACCTAGGAGACTAAATTTTCTAACCGTGTACTTTTCATGTGATTTTCAGTTTCGTGTTTTGCGTGCACCGATGAACCCTCAGACTGTAATTATACCTTCCAGACAGTAACCTGTTCTTTATCAATCACATGAGAAGCAATGCTGACGCCATACGAGTCATTATCAGAAGGTATGACAAATTCTTAATTGTTCCTGTTGTCATGTCAGTAGAGCACAACTAGTAAATGAATGCGTTTTGAAAAGAATGCCTGTTTTCTGAAGATCAGACATACAAAGTGTAATCAGTGCCACGTCACATTTTACTCCGTAGGGTGAATTAAAAAAGATATATATGGTTATCCTACAATGCAAAATCTTACATTTTCAAATGGTTTAAGTATATTTAGAAGCACAGTTTGAATATACATTAAGATATCCTAAGCAACCTTTTTATCATCAAATGTCACATGTATCCAGTATTGTCTAATATCTACGATTCGCATCCGTGTAATGTCTCTATCATTTTTTACCCTCAAGTAATACAAGCAGGCAGTGAATAAAATAGGGTAGACTATTTATTCATGTTTTTCATCAGAATATTATCTCGTTATCATGTGAAAAGTAAACAATTTACTTAGAACAAAAAAACAAATCTTGGCAAAACATTTTTTGTATTCCTTGTGCTTTCATCCTATCTAATCTCCAATAACGACGACTATTTTGATAACATTGATTGCGGTATTGGTGTTGAATTTTTATCATTTCTAATGATATCATTTACATGCACTCATTATTATTATTATTATTATTATTATTATTATTATTATTATTATTATTTATAGTAGTAGTAGTAGTAGTAGTAGTAGTAGTAGTAGTAGTAGTAGTAAAGGAAATAATGCTTGCATAGTCATCCTATGGCTATAGTGAATACTTATGAACCTGAGCGACAAAGTAAAGGGATATCTTTTAAAATCATGTATGTTTATCTCTACCACAGATGCGATAATTATACTGAGTGTGTAAGTGACTGGTGGCAAACCTACTCTGACAACAAACGATGGAAGAATTACAATCAAGATGTAAAGTATAATCTTGATTTCAATTGCAAATTCTATTATGATAAAGCAGGTTGTAATAACAGAATAAATCCTCCCAAGGAGGCTAATTTCGTTATGACTTAAACCGGTTTTTATTACAATGTTCTGATTATTCCCAGAACGTATACAGACCTGCAAATAAATTTATAGTAAATTTGATGAAATTATTTATCTTTTTAGTTGTAAAAAATATTTTTTTTTCTAGTAAAGTACAACACTAAATCTTTAGTACCATAACTGTTTCTTCTAGCTACCATTTAATTTAATCAACGTTAAGAGTGCGTACTTGCATTTTCAATTTAAAAAAAAAACAATTTGAGGCATTATTGTTTCAGAAGAGCACCCTCATGATGAATCAGCGGAAACTATTATCCCACAGAGACAAATAAGTTTAAGGTGGTTTGATCGACTTACTATCATGTGGTTATCAATTAAGGAACCAAACGTATGTAAACATGTGAATATAACGCACATACATATCTAAGAAAAACAAAAGTGAAGGGATATTACATTATTAAAAAAGTGCTATTTCAGTGTACCGCAATAGCAGCATCTCACTTGATTATAGTTTGTGGAAGAAGCGCACTGTCCTCATACAATGATTACATTTGCGGTGAGAAGTGGGAAGGATAATAAAGACATGTCCTTTTAAAATAATAGATATAATGTTTACAATAATTGTCATAGTAATGAAGTTGAAAAATTAGTATAGTTACTAATTCTATACCTACTAATAATAGTGTAATAAAATTAAGGAGATGCGCATTTGGTTGTAGCGCGCCGTTTAAGTAATTCGTAGTTTAGTGATTACTTGTTTGATTATTGGAATTCAGTGCAATGGGAAATATTTCTTAGCCCGATAATTAGCCAATTATTAGGAGCAAACGTCGCAAAGAGAAAGTGTTAGTGAGTTTCCAGGATGCCCTGGTCAATGAGTAGCGAATTCAGACCCAATCCGCATGACTTTCCCTGTCGTGAAGTAGTACTTTATAAATATAGTAGTGTACATTGGTGTTGTGACTGCAGCGGCAGTATTTATGATAGGAAACCGGTAAATTACACAATGGTATAAATGAGAAGGGACTAGGCTGATACCGTTTATGTCGCCATGGTGGCAAATGTGATGTGCCTTGAAACCATAGATTGACTGGCCCAAGGTAGTGTAGTTAAAATAATCCCTTCTTTTAGGGATAGTTGTAGAGTTTCTACGGTGTGAATTGCTGGCTGAAAGGAAAGTTAATGTAGAGAAACTATGCGGATGTGCGGTTGATGGCTATTTGACAAGTTGTAAATAACGTGGTCTTACATTGATTAGAGTAAAATTTATGTATATAATGGACACGTCGGTCTTTCCAACTTACATCTGAATTTGTATTGAAGTCTTTGGAAATTTAGGATAAACTTAGGACTTCTAGCGGGATTCGCGCCAGGGTTTCGACACCGCTCGGTCAAGCAAAGAACCCTGGCTTGTAATAATAAAACGCTCTGGTAGCCTAGTGGTTAGAGAGTTCGCCTCGGATGTAGAAGGTCGCGCGTTCGAACCTCGGCTTGGTCATACCTGCAACGTATATAAATGTTACTAAAAACTGCTTCGCTTGGAACTCAGCATTAAGATGTTAGTGTTAGCATTTTTACTGCCTGGTGTCGGGACACTGTAACTGGGTGCGACATCATGCTACATGTCTGCGGCATCATTCCCTGGTGTTAGATATTACTATAAACTGCCAGACCGCAGACCTCATTAGCGATATGATTGAAAAAATTGTTAAAGGTACGTTACAAATCGAAATCATATACACACTCAACACTTAAACCGTACTGTTGAAAACTGCAATATTCTATTATAACACACATCTGGGGACGTTTATAAGAAAGATACAAAAACGTAGGTTAAAAATATAATTATATCAAATTATTTCTTTTACAATCACAAAATTCGGGTCGGATGAAATCATATAATGCGGATTATACCCTTCCCCCAATTTCTTTGGTTTTGTAGCTTGCAATGCGTACGTTAAATTTTAATATGTTCATATGTTCACGAGAAATTTAACATCAACTCACGAAATTTATTTATGTAAACTGCCAAGTCAGTCATATGTTCTGTCATGGATTTTATATTTGTGTATTGTTGGTTTCGAAGTTTTTCCACGCATATGGAAACGGTGAGGATGAAAAACTTAGGAAAGAGAAATATCATAGAAGTCTGGTATTTGCTTTTCAACGAGGAACAATCAAAATAAATTTAAAAACATCGATCGCTTCTTAATTGCCGTGTATAAAAAGCCAAATGTCAAAGAACGCCGTCTTTCCTTAGTCACAAAACAACATTCACGCTTAAGTCAGATATAAATGTACCTTGAACATAAAAAAGTATCCAAGACGATATGCAATGAAATCTAAGAACATTAACGTTAAGAATAAGATGATACCAAAATCATTCTCACTTTTTATTTATTACCTACATAAATTCATCATGCATAACAGTATTGCAAATTAGCAATATGACTATTAAAACAGAATCACCCAATTTCTCTGACGTAAAGACCGTCTTAAAATAACATACAAATCAACATATGAAAGACGCAATATAAAAACACAAAATGAGTGAATTACATCTTAAGCTAGAGAGGCTGTTTTTCTATTAACCAAATATTATCGACAAAGCAACTCAAAACATTTCACTTATCTAGTAAATTTGGTACAAGTCATTTTACTATAGAAATTTGTCAAAATCCACCACGAGGTGTAGGTTCAGTCATCGAACCACCGTACAAGTTATTTCAATCTAGATAAATAATATAATTTGATGGAAGATCAGGGTTGTACTCATTCATGTACTTATTGTTTGCCTCCGAACACTTTTTTTGTTATAACGCTGATACCGCCTTTGATACATTTTTCAATAAAATTAAAATAAAATTAAACATATCCACATCAGTCAGTAATTCTAGCTTTACCTTAATAAGCTCTAACATAGCATCCCAAGATAACCCAGGGGAAGAGTAATACCAGCAAGGATCTAGTCCGTAGTTGTTATCTAAAGTAACGGACATAATTTTTAAAATAATTTGGAATACATTTGATTATGTTATAGACTTTCAAACGACATGTTATTTCATGATTACCAAAGGCTTCTACGATAATGTGGCTATCATATCTTCTGAAATTATGAATAATAACTGGAATAAAATCCGGAACGTGAAACTTTAAATTACTTTTATTATGAGCTGCTCCCGTCAAAATGACAATGATCACGCACGTTTCTATTATCGGGAGAATCAAATGACAAAAGTCTGCTTGCTCGTGATCAGATTCTTATTGAGATGTCAGTTTTATCATTGGAGCTATTCTTTATAAATGATTAAATATATTATCAACTTAATTAATCAACACTTGAGAAGCCAAACAGCTTGGTTTTTACAGCGATATAATTTAATTGGTTTAGATGAAATAGAATCAGCACAACAAACTATCTTATACGCTACCCCCAACATGAGAACTGATTCTGAGTTTTTCTTGTACTCGATTGGTTAGGATTATTTTCTGTGCCAAGTACAGAATGAAGTGAGCACTCGAAGTCAGCATATATAACGAAAGTAATGTTTAGTTTGTGATTATGATTGACAAACTGAAGGATGTTTTTCTCTTTGGACGGCATGGTTATTCATTGTACGTCACTACAGTACTGCACATGTTTTTATGACTTGTCATTGTACATCCGTGTAAACAGCGGTAATAAAAGTACTTTTTATTTTGACATTTGTTGTACTGCTTACCAACCAGTCCATTAAAATGTTTGATCCAAGCGTAACGATTCTTATTAAACAGCAAGTTTATTTTTGATTGTGAAGCCTTTTCTAAAATATATCTCGGAAAGACGTTTTCACGCTCGTCAAGACCAAACACATTAAATGAGATATTATTTTGCTTTTCGAGCTTTGGTATTTGATTTTCTGCAACTGGAAAGTCAATACCAGTAAAATTTAATTTTGATACGAAACTAATATACTTGTCAACGCGATAGGAGTGTTCTTTTGCTGGGAAAATATCGGAAAGAATGGCCCACTGTAAACATTTTCGATCACAGTTTGTTTATGTTGATACATTTTTTATTTTTTATTTTCTGCGGCAGGTCAATACACGAAATTCCACGTAATGCGTTATACCCCATTGTATCAACAAATATTTCAGGGATAGTCTCAAACTTAAAGGCCGACTCTAGTTCAGTATAATCGTCTATTTATTATTTATTTCTTGGTGTATTTTATCAGCCAACTAGAAAATATCAGTTTCAAACAAGACACGTCTTAATTTTGCGATGATGTCTGCAGTTTGCTTGTCAGTCGATTCTTCTGTCAGGAGCAGTTTAGACAATATAATGTGATATTGTTCAAGTACTTTTAAACCCTTATGTTTTTCAAGTTCACGTTTTACAGTCGGATCTAATAAATGATAGAGATTTGTTGTTGCTCAATTTACTAATACAATTTGCTTGTCAAATTTATAGCTATCATCAAATCCTGCAAGAAAAGCTGTTACTATTTTTACAGATTACTCTATAAAGCGTTCTTTGGATACATCACGTAGCATTAACATTTTTATAATACTGTAATATTATATCTTTAATCAGTTGTTCGATCGATAACTCAACGCACACCAGCTAGACAAACCGATCGATAGATCACCGTATTTCAAATGAATAATCAATTAGAAATATGAAAAAGCTTAGAGAATAATGTCACAAAATGTGACAAGTGCAAGCAAGTAAGATATTTATTGTGGTCATCCAAAGTAGAATTTATACGCGGGTTTATGTGTTTGGGTCAGTGATACATGTCAGATACGCTATATCAATTGGTAAAGTAACACCAGCCGGTTAGAAGATAAGTGTTAAACGTGATGTCTGAAGGAGTTTATTTACACATTATTTTGTTGTGAAATTCCAGGACAACTAGTGTATTGTGTCAACGGCTCTGTTACGAATGATAAAATTAAAAACATGTCTTTGTAAGATGAGCTTCAACTATATCCAGTATTTGATCACCATTAGGCTAACGATAAACGAATTATTCGAAGAAGAACTAAAAAAGTATCAGTTAGATTACAAAATAGTGGATACTTGTTGGAAAATATTTGAGGAACACAAGCATGCTTTGTAGATTATTTTAGCCATAGATTTTTTAACAAGACGTTTAGAGAATCTTTACCTATACCTAACGGTTTTGTGATAAATCAACAATTTAAAGACGAACAATCGCTTGGAAAATCCAGAATTAATTAATCAGTAGGAAGATGTGAAAAAGTACGAGGTCGTGATGGATCTAATCTTAGATATACAGCTAACCTGTTACTGCAGTAATTCTCGAAACAGATGAGTATTTAAAATTTAAATAGATTTTCGCTTCTGTTTAATACTATAAGATAATCCGTCCACAATAAAATCTGTCGTAGATGGAAAAAGAAAAACGGCTACAACACAATCAACCTTTGAAAGAATCATCTTTAAATATGATGATAAAATGTATTTGCTAGCTCGTTTTTACTTAATCAATTGTGATAAAGTTCCATAATATCATTTTCATTAAAGTTCAGCGTCATTATCGCGCTGTTATTAAAATATTTACCTCAGCTGTTACTAGAAATTTATTATAATCACCTTGCATAATAATAACGCCAACAGACTAAGAGCTATATCCTAACATTTTCGCACTGCTGCAGCAAATTCGCTGTAACTTAATATATTACATTTTTAATGATATTATACTTCGTTAGACATCCTATTTTTGTAAAATAGATAACATATAGTATGATATGAACTAGATGAAACGACTTGCTAACATTTACGCTAGCAATATAATCTCGGATGATAATGTTACAACAGGAGATGCTATAGTTGTAGCGGCTGATTACACAGAATTATATTTTACTTAAGAATGACAATGAGCAAACCAAGATTGTAAGTGTAGTCGATAAGAAAAGTTATGAAAGACCGACAACTGGTGGATATAACGTAAAATATCACATCACTAAAAATACTACACTTTAAATTTACAGTAGACGAAAATCAATCGTTTTGGGAACTGATAAGACCTTTTTAAAACATTGAAATTCCAGACCAACAGAATTATATAATATTCGATTTCATTTTTGTCAAGATATTACTTTTAATGTCGATCTCTGACAATCGCAGATGATATTTGATATCATTGTGTAAACCTATAAAATATACGATAGTCTTAAGCAATTATGAAAAAGATCTATAAACATATTTTACAGTTTGCTTAGTTGGAATCCAGCTATTAAAGTAATCGCTGTATCCACGCCACTTGAAGAGGCTTTTATTACTGCGCTTTTTAATTACTCTTCCGATAACGAAACTATTTTGTTCAGTTTTCTGTAACTCTTGTTCATAAAAACTACCAATTATTGGTTCCCCTGTTAGATCTTTCAGTTCATAATTTACATGTATTTTAAAGGTACTTTATCAACTATGAATAATCTTCAGTCCAGTTTGGAGTAAATCTTTTTTAGAATGCTTTTTTTTCTGTTAGA